AGACATTTATTTTGGGTGAGTAACTTAAATGCCTAAGCTCCCAAGATACTCACAGGTGAGGGCTAAGCTGTCCCAGAGAGCCATTGAGAACCTAAAATTGGGAGCCTAGCACGCACCATTAACTACATAAGGCATCCATATTTTTAATATAGTTAAGACTAAAGTTAAATGTCTTAAGCGGCTCCACCTCTTAATTATTGTAGGTAATAAAAACATAGCTGCAGCCAGTTTGGAATTATAAATAATTAGGAAATGTTTTAAAAGGATGTTATGACAGACAAACCAGCCTCAGCAAGTCCAGTCCAGTGAGCGTAAACCTCATCCCCCCTGTCCCCGAAGGCTCCTTTGACCCTATTTTTATCAGAAGTGAAGTGCTTCTCACAGGTCCCTGATAATGTCACCGTAACTGCTCCTTCAGCTAGTACTGGAAGGCTTCCTGGGGAAATACCATTTTGTAAGGGTTGAACCGAGATCTTCACAGCAGGAAAGATGTGTACAAACGTGTTCCTTCCTTATCCATAAGCAGGCATTTTAGTAGGTCTCCTTTACCTACTTCTGCCTGTTTGTACCCTGCTGTCAGAGGATGCTGGTAAGCAGAAAGGAGCTAATTCAGCTGCTTTAATCGGCATGTGAAAATAGCCAAAAGTCTTTGCCGAGTGTGAAATTCCCGAAGGGATCTGCGCTCTGAAAACGTCTTCTGCAAAGCTGTTGAGTTGTGCTAAGTGCCTTCACCTCGGTGCTAGCGTGCTGGTATGTAAAGGGCTTTTTTGGTTAGCAAGTAAAGGTGCAGTTGAAGACCCTAGATAAATTCAGATATAAAATGAGTCATGTGTTCATTAGTGTATACCTGTTTCCTTTTAGCACCTTTTCTGATGCTTCTTGGCTGTTGTGTACACTGAGTCCTCATCCCAGGGGTATCTTTTTCTTTTTTCCTGGGAAGTATGAGACAAGGCAGATCCAGCCAGCCTCAGGGTCTTGTCTGAGGCAGGACCCGAGTGCCGTGCGTCTAGCATTTCTGCAGATGAATGCTGTCTGTTAATGAGTTGTTAGCTGTAGCATAAATAATCTGTTTCTTTTTGTTTTTGGCCTAAAGCTTTTACTGATTGAGGATTTCTCTCTGCTCTGCAGCTGTCAGGCTGTTAAAGTAGAAGCAGAATCCCTGCAGTTTCATAGGCTGCTCCCTTTTGAAGGGATGAGTATTCTGTACCTTTTCTTTAAGCAAGACGTTATCCTGGAGTTACACCTGCCTCTCTTTTTCCAAAAGCCTGGAAAAGATCAGGATGGCTCCTGAAAAATTACTCTTCTGCAGAATAGCTCCCTTAAGAATTCTCCTTCCGTGGGAAGGAAGGACTGTACAGCAGGCTGACGTTTTATTAATTTATTTGATTAGGATGAGCAAGGGTTTCATCTGAACCCCAGGGCAGTGTTGTTGAAGAGATCATAATGACATGCATCTGTCCTTTCAACAGCTACAGCTCTGGGTAGGAAAAAGCAGCACCTCTGTAGATGCACTGTGCTTGTATCTCAGAGTCCAAGCACAAAGTTAGTGGTGTTTTCACCCCTCTTGGGCTGAGCACTTGGAGGATACTATCCTGAGAAAGGTGTTTCTGGTGTGCTAAATAGGATGTCTGCAGTACCTGCTAGATTATATAGCCAGTGTGGCTTTCATGTGATGCTCTTTGGGTGTAACTCTGCATATTAGCAGTGCAACTAGGAGCACCTAACTGTCGGTTAAGTGGACGCTCACCAGTTTTGCTACCCGAAATATTATTTCCATCCCTTCATCAAGGAAATAAAACCTTTTTCCTACAGATACGTTTCATAAGCTCAGGCCTTCTGGTGGTCTTCTGCAGAACTTATGCAAGCAGATGAATGTTCTGCCCCCTTCCCTTCTCGATAGTCAACAGAATAGACTTCTGGACTGGTGCAGTTAACATCAGGGTGTTTTGGAGCATGCTGCACTCAGGTGGAAGGTAGCAGATCTCTCTTTAGGATGTTCAGTTCTTTCGTTCTCAACTGGTGCCCAGAGAAGAAAACCAAGCAACCTGGCTAGCATTTGTAAGGAGTAAAGGGGCATATTGACAGTCCAGGTAATAATTAAAGACCTTCCTTTTGACAGAAATTAAAAGCCCAAGGCCTTCCGTTCTGTCGAAGACAAGGCTCCTCTGCATTCTCTTGACTTGTATTTCCCAGCCCCCAAACGGTGATGAGCAAGACTCAGCACTTCTTCTTTAGTTTGCATCCACAGTAGAATATTTCAGAAGGTTTCCAGTTCTAAGAGGTTTCCTTCCGGAGGGTTGTCCTGCAGTACTGCAAAAGTAGTAAAGTGATAAGAGTAATAAAGATGACTTTCTGCCAGCTTCCAGGCAAATAATCAATCCTCAGGCCATCATATCAGTCTGCAGAAAATCCCTTGAACGAAATAAAAGGGGATTGGTTAGTTCCCTGATGGTGGCTGTGATTCTTTAAGTGCGTTGTCCGTATGGATTTTCCTTGCCTGGTTCTGCGAAGCCCCATCGTTCTGCGCCGGTAGAGGAACGGCGGGCTGGTTGGGCCCGCTCTTCAGTTTCTGCTGTCAGCGATGGGGGAAGATTTAGGGACACAGTTGTTTTCCTGACCCCAAAGAGTCTGCTCTGCAATACCAGAGGAGCATGCACATGCAAACTGAAAGCCACAGCGCTTCTGAAATAACTACAGTTACCCCGAGTAACTCGGCCCCTTTTTGAAGGGGAGCTACGGAGGAACCTGTCGGATGGATTCTGTCCTGTGGGTTGAGTGGCTGATTACAGATGTTTTATTATTTGCAGGCCAAACACAATCCTGAGGCTTCGATTCAATCACTTTGCTACAGAATGCAGTTGGGACCATTTGTATGTGTACGATGGAGATTCAATTTATGCTCCCTTACTGGCAGCTTTTAGGTAAGTCCCACTCGGTAAGAAGCTAGCTGTATGCAATGATGTTTCTTTAACTTGGAGCCTGAAGTCGTATTTGGCTTTTAGCAGTATAAATACGTTCCAGTAATCTAAATATATAATACCGTCAATGCAGCACATATAGTAGTGTCCTTTTGTGCAATTGTCAGCAGCGTAAACAATTACCGATTTGTTTTTGCTTTTACAATGGACAGATCATGTTACTATACTGTTAACGTGTAGTATTTTTTCATGCCCAAATCTAGTTGTTTTAGATGCAAAAAAATTATCATCGTGTTGTTGAGCGTGAGGTATTTCAGGACGCAAGCTCCTTCCAATGTAGAAAACTGCCTGTTTTTATAAGGTTTTATAAGGTTTGACTATGACAGTCATTTAGCGTATAGTATGTCCCTGTTGACATAAGGCAAGAAGTCAATCAACCAACATTGCAGCCGTATAGCTTTGGAGAACTGTATATATCCTTACATCCTTGAAACTTTTAAAGGCCTTGGAACGGGTTCAGAAACAGCAATGATAAGTCAGACAACCTTGTAAAAATATATGTAGGTAAAACTGTTCTCCTGACAGGTGATTGCTATCTATAAGCAGATAGCCGGTTACCTGTGCCTGTAGTTAGCCTTCTCTTGTGCTGCTTTTCGTTTTCAGAATGGGCTGCTGAAAATGCTTCATGTTTGTTCTCAGAAGTCCTTGTAACCTCTGCGAGAAGGGAACAAGATCAGCATAGTAAAAAAAAAAAAAAAAAAGGGAGCAAAAAAGGAAAAATTTGTGTTTTTTTTTTTTTTTAATGAAACTGAAGTTGTTTTGTAGTGAAAGAATGCTTTCTGTAAGCATTCAAGCTGTAGCCTAAGGTCAAAACAGGACACATAACTAAGATGTTATGTTATTCTCTCATCCTGTTTGAAACCTTCTGCCTTCCAAAAAAAAAAAACAAAAACCCCTGTAAGGACTCTTCTGGTATCGTGCCCTGAACTGATGTATGCAAAGAGGAAAAAATGTGATCTTGACTCAGTCTTTTTGCTCTAATCGAGCTAATTTTTAATATACTGTTGAGAAGGTGAAATGATCATAATTTGCGCCTGCAGTTTCTTATGTGTTTACTAAAAGTTATTAGGCTTTTTAAATTGAGGTTGTAAGTAGTTCACGGCATTAACAATTATGATTCAGACTTTAAAATCATCTGTAAATCACTAGGAAGTCTGTGCCTGAGGACAAGCAAGCATGAGCTTAATACTGTAATATTTTTGAAGTAGGAAAAAAAAAATTCAATTATTTTTTTAATTGCTTCTTTAGATGACATTTGAATTTCATCTTCATTAGTACTGAACTGTGTTGTTCACCAAACCGCATTCAGGAAATAACAGATGCTTCTAATTTTGATGAAGGGTGAAAAAAGCATCTGTTGAAAAATTATCTTTTTCTGATTAAAAAAAAAAAAAATCCCAAGAATTTTTTTTCAAGAGCAATGTCCATATTTTATTTTTTTCTTAATTTGTATTAAATTTTAGTATTTGCCAGAACCTTCTTTTACTCTTCATTACTTCTGCACTATGCCAGAAGTTTTGCAAGACTGAGCTTTGCACACTGGGACACTGCAAACTTTCAAAGTTTGTTGATAAACACTATAAACTCCACGCAAGCTTCTCGAAAGCTCAGCTTTTGCTGCCTCCCTGACTTGTTACAATACTTGTCTGAGCCCTTGCTTCGTTCGCTGCTCTCACCGTGTTTTCTTGGCTTTCTGATGCTCACGTTATGTTTGTTCAAAAGATGGTTGTTTAGCCTGAACGTAAGATGATCTTGGAAATTCTCAAGACTGGAGTTAGGAAAAATTTAAATGGAGTTTATTAATTTTAACTTCAATGCAAAAAATATTTGCCCAGTGCAAACATTTGCGTAGTGCCAGTATCTGCATAAACTGTTCACTAAACTCTTTGAGGTTAATGTCCTAAGCAGGCCAGTCTTGTGCAGGAAGCTTTTTTTCTATTACGTAAGTTTAAAAATATCTTTGATGGTTTACATTGTGATCATAGGTAACGAGACAGTATAAGCGCGTGTTGCTTCAACTATGCAATAGAAGAACAACTCAGAGGTAGCAGAGATCCAGTGCACTTGTCTGAATAGGATGAAGAAATCTGAAGCAGACTAGACTCGTCTGTCGGTGCTTAACTGTACCCCTGTGAAGCATTTACTGGAGCGGCTCCTACAGTTTATTTTCATACTGTGTTGGTTGACATGGGAGACTTTCCTTCTTCATTTCTTCAGAAATGAGCGTTCTTTTTTGAAGGCCTTTGGCATTAGCTCTGCACTTGGCACTCCAGGGTTGGGCTGCTCCGAAGCACCTCGCGTGTGCTCTTAGGTACCAGATGGACAGTCATTGCGCTAGCACTGGCAGATGGCAGCAGCTGCCCCACGGTAACTTGAACAGACGATTGCTGCGTTGGCCGCTCTGCAGTGATGGCTCGTGAGCTCTTATCCTCAGAAAACATGAGCAACTTGCCTTCTTCTCATTACTTCCAGGTGAATATGGCACTTCTAAACCCAGCTTTATGACCAGTCATAGAAGCAGAGAGTGATTAAGGTTGAAAGGGACTTTTGGAGGTTCATGGTCTGATGCCTCACTCAAAGCAGGGCCAACTCGAAAGTTAGGTCGCATCCTTGCTCAAGGTTTTGTCCGGAGAAGTTTTGAATATGTCTAAGGATGATGATTTCGCAGATTCTCTGGACCAGTTGGCCCAGTATTTGACCATACTCATAATGAAAATTTTTTTGCTAATGTCTAATTAGAATTTCTGGTGGTGCAACTTGCGGCTGTTTCCTCTTGTCCTTTTGCTGGACAAAACCCCTTGCCTGGTCCTGTTTTCTCTGTAACTTCACACTAGGTTATTGAAAACAGCGATTAGATTCCACCCCGTTTTCAGCCTTCTCTGCTCCCTGCTAAACAACCCCTTTGCTTGTGCCTCTGCTCATACTTCAGCCCCCGACCATCTTGGTGGCCTTCAGCTGGATTCGCTCCAGTACGTGTGTTGTATTGGAAAGCCAAAATTGGAATCAGTGCAGCCTTGCGAACGCTGAAGAGAGGGGAATGATTGTGTCCCTTGAACTGCTGACTACTTTTTCGGGTGCGTCCCGGTATATGGTTAGCTGTCATCGCTGCAAAAGCACGCTGCTCGCTCGTTCAGCTCGTTGTCCTTCAGGACCCTCAGGTCTCTTCTTCTGAGCTGCTTTTTAGCTGATCTGAAAGCGTTCTCAGCTGGTCCGTTGGCTTCCCTTTCCTTGCCGCATTGGACGGAGACTCCTTGTCCTACCCTTTGTAAGCGCTTCACATCTCCTCTGCCTCCTGCTTGCCTGTTCCTGTTGCAATGGCAGTTTTTCTTGTATTCCCCCCAACCCGAGCTTCTTGATCAGTATTGGTAGCCCACGTTTCTGCCACACGCATGCACAAACGCTTTCACTTTCTTCTCCTTTATCCTAAATGCCCTTCCTGCACTAATCTGCACACCCTGCTTACCCCTCAAGATCTACTTGTCTGGCATCGCTTGGAGCAAATGATCAGCTGATAACAGCAGGGTTGTTGCTAGTGAGGATTAATTATATTGAGGAACGCACAAAACATGCTGAGTGGGTATAATTTGTATTCTGAGAGTATCCAGAGGCCCTAAGCAACTTACAACTGATGTTAGCCAGACGTATAGGAACAAACGGTCCTTGCTTCTGGCACGTATAGGCAGAGAGCAAGGCCCGGATGCTAGCACCCTGCGTGAAGGAGATGAAGGAACGATTTCATGCCAGAATTTTAGCATGCACTGCATTGCATCTGCCTTTCCCATATATTTAACCAGGTTTTCCTGCTTTTCGTCTGTGTTTGCATCCTCCTCTAATGGAGCTACTGCTCAGCACGTATTCAGCCATGCCCTCTGAAATCGTTTTTTCACTCCTCCTGCTTCCCGAGGTACTGCATGTCCCCTGACGTGTTCTGGCCCTATATTAAACTGGATTGCAATGTGTTTCTTTTGTGCATACGCTCGGTTTGTGGAGCAGTCCTCTTTGCTTTTTGTCCTAGCAGCCTGTCCTCTGCAGCGTTTCGTGTTTTGCTGTGTCTGTTTGCTTCCCGAGTGATGATTTGATGTGCCTTTCAGCACGTTGATTTTTTTTTTAAAAAAACAAACAAAACCGCAAAACAAACAAAAAGAGCTAACTGGGATAAGGCGAGGAGCAAACGTGTTTGGGACGTTGCTAGAAATGTTCCTGCTGGGCTGCCGGTGAGCCGGTTGATCCCTTGAGTGCATAACAATTGATTAATCAAAATGACTTTTTGGTAAAAAGTCAGATTTCATAGAGAAATAGAAATACGTTATATCCGAATTGCTTTATTCACTAAACCTGAAATCCCCTCCCAAAACATTAAGGTAGACAAAAAGTTTCTATTTTAGGATTTTGAAAAGATAAATCCTCTAAGTTAAATTGAGGCCTAAAAAGAAGTTTAGAACAAAAAGTCTCTTCGGTCTTCTTGTCTCTTGGTCCTCTTAGACTGTTTCTGATGGACTGCAGAATATAATTTTTATTTTTCTCACAAAGTCAAGTATCCTGCAGCAAGTTTTACCGGCACAACAGCAAACTTTAAGCTTTAAAGAAGAAAAAAGGCATTGGCACCATGTCGGTTAGCATGGACTCTCTCCCAAGCTAAATAATTAAAATCATTTTTATTTTTAAAAATAACACTACTTCACTGTGGTGGCAAAAAAAGTGTAGTTCTTCTCTGAGACCTCATTTCAGTTCTTGAAATATGACTTTTATGGTCAGCCTCACCATATGACATGACCAGAAAGATTTATTGTAACTCATGAGATACGGATTAAAATACATTTATGATTTATCCTTACTCTGTTCATCAGGAAGGTAGAGTGTTGTGCAAGAACTGAAGAGCTGCTTTTGGGCAAGTCCTGTTGGTTTTGAGGGCTCTACGTGGGCAGGCAGGCTTGCCTCAATGTAGGTCCTGCAGCATCTGGATGGGTGCGTGTTACAGCAGGGGAAGATGGTTTCAAGAAAAACTTTTGTTTTGGGGTTTTTTTCCACTGGTCACGAGCAAATAGGAAAAAAAAAAAAAAAAGATTCTTCTTCCATTGTAATTGCTTCTTTTCCTTAAGAGTCCGCACTCAGCGGTTGTGGTGTTGTTGCACAAGGATCTTAGCTTTTCTTTAAGAAAATAAATTTGAAGGAAGTCTCCCTTTTTTCCCCCCTCCCTTTTTTATTTTTTGGCATTGATTTATTTTTAATCATTTGTAATGTCCTTTCTTGTTTATTTTTACCCCTTTAGCTGCGAGTGCGGCTAACATGCATGAGCTGTTTTTGATAAGGGAGAAATAATGTTGTTCTTCACAAGTGTGTGTCCAGATAGGTCAAAGTATCTTAAGTCTGAAAAGAATGGTTTCACATTGCATTTCAATAGATTGAGAAGTCGAGTGTACTCCCAGTGTTTCTGTATCACCTTTATCCTTTCACTTCTGTGATCTGTGCTCTGTATTTTCCCTCTTTGCTTTCACGGCTCCCCTTTTTTTTTTTTTTTTTTTGCTTTTTGCCCGTTTTCTACTCGGGCAGCAGTAGAACGTATTACACTTTTGATCTTTGACGTGCCGGGTCTCAGGAGAATGCAACGAATCCACGTTCATCGTGAGGCTCGCATACCAAATCAAGGAAAAATAACTGAGGAGATGCCCTTCATCTTAAATAATTCTCGTTCTTACATGGCGCGGGGGGAGAGAGCAAGGCAGGAGAGGTGCAGGGACGATAATGAAGTTAGGTGTCCTGGACGTCATTTTTAACTCTACAGATGCATTGCATAGAAAATAGAGGTGTTTCAGGACAAAACAGGGGCTTACCTGTCAGCTTCGAAGAAATAGTGTCATTGGACAGCTTAGCTGAGTGAGATATTTATGTGCTTTGGAGTAGTGATGGCTGGGAAATGTTTTGAAATCTTCTGAAAGAGCGTAGAAACGATGCGTTGTGAAACGGGCTAATCTCGACCCGAGTTGACTCTTGGAGAGATTGTGGATCCTAGTTGAAAGACGTTTTGCATAATCCTTTATTGTTCACGTTCTGCCTGTCAGATGCTCTATGGCAGAAGCCGCCAAAATTCGGTTTGTACTTGCTGGTTCGGTCAAAATGAGGCTAAATGTGTTATCTTCTTCCTGGTTTTCAAATTACTCGTGTTATGTTCTGTTTGTTGCTTTCTCCAGCTGAAATTACTTTATAATCACAGAATGGCTGAGGTTGGAAGGGACCTCTGGAGATCATGTAGTCCAACCCTGGTGCTCAAGTGGGGTCCTCTAGAGCACGTTGCACAGGATTGTGTCCAGGCCCTTGAATCTAGCACTTGAACGTCATCAGGATTATTTTAAAGTTTTACGGGTAAAATCATATCCTCTTTAGTGTGTTTGCAGAGGACTATCTGGCCGATTTGTTTAGCATCTTTCTCTACTGGTCAATAGCTAAATAAGGGGCATAAAACCGCCTATGATACTGAAGCAGTTTTCATTATAAAAGTCTGGCCGTATCTGTCTCAGTAAACGTGACTGGCCGGTAAAGGGAAGGCCCATATGCAGCTTGTCCTCAGGAAAGTAGAGCAAGATTGAAAGCAAGGCAAAATAAGTGGGGTACGTATTTCGAGCAGTCATACTGTGCAAGTATCTGCGTTCTTTGCAAGCAAATCCCAAAAGCTGGATTTCTAAGAGAAAACAAATACTTGTCCTGTTTTAGTCATTTGATTAGCAAAGGTAATTTGGGGGATTTTTGTCTTCTGTTGTTCCTTCTGTTCGTTCCTTTTCTCTTATTCTTGCAACGCTGTTTTTGTCCGCTTAGATTTTTCTCCCGTGTTCCCCCTGCTCCAGGGTCTTGCAGTGAGGTTGCTGTGTAGTATCACTGATGCACGCTGCAAAAATGAGGTTGAGGAAGAATAACGCAGAACAAAGGAACGTTCTCTCTTGTCCCTGAGCTGCAGTTTGCCTTACCCTGAATTATATTCAGATGTCTGTTTTCATGTGGCAGAGAGATACTGTTCTACAATTTTGCATTACAAAGGAAGACTATATGAACCAAAATAGCAAAGAGGAGTTTATTAGAATTTCTCCTCTTTGATGTTTTGGTAGGCAGTCTTTTGGAAGAGATCCTCTTCAGATCAGAAGTCAGAATGAAACGGGTACCTCTTATGCACTGAGAGACAGAGAAAGGCAGTGAATTTTGCCTTTCAACGCCATATCCTTGAGATGTGAAAGAAAAAATAATTGATCTTCTCCCCAAGAAATGTTTATTGAACTGCATATCTGCAAATGTACGGGAGTTGTTAAGCCAAAACATGGCCTGAAGCTACTGCATTTTTATGGCATGCTGGTAAAACGGATACATACCTTCTTGTGAACAGAAAGATTTCTTAGGCAAGAGGTGTTACCGTATAGTTTGTACATATACCTTACCCTTGGTGATGTGTCACGCGTCACTCACGGTGCAAACTCTCTCAACTTCTGTAATATCAAAAGCTTTTGGTAATGGTTGCCGGGTGTCTGTATTATTCTTTTGAGCACATCGTTGTATCATATCCCTGGGACAGAAGAACTCAGGTCACAAAAAAATGTACTTTACAGGTGATGTGGGTGCGATGCTGTGGATAGTGGTGAATGTTTTCCCCCGGTGCAGAACGTGGCCTCGGAGTACCCGATTCACCCTGTGCTGTGAACAGTCTTCAGATGCGTTCGCCGTCTGGTCTGAATAGGTCTGAAAAGAGGAAAAGAAGGCTGTCTTAATGGGAAAATTTCTTTTCATCATTGCTTTTCTAGTTCATGGTGCCCTTGGATATGGAGAAGTCACCGGGTATGCAGCCAGGCTCAAGTACTTTTACAAGAGTGCTGCAGGGCACCGCGTTTGTGCTGCCTGCCAGAACAGATCTACTGCGAGGATTTGAATCTTTGCTTTTGAAAAGGCTTTGGCTTAGCCTTTGAAAATGGGACTGAGACTGGGGGAAGACAATTTCATAGCTATACAAAAACACCAGCTAACTCTTAATAAATGGTAGTGTTAGACAACGCTCTTTAGGTAGAGCTTGGGGAGGGAGGGGAAGGAGATTTCAATAAACTTCAAAACATGCCTGCTGTTAGGACTTTTGTATGAGAGAGGAATTGTTGTCTTTGTTTTCTTGTCATCAGGCTTCCATTAAAGGAAGAATAAATATTCCCTTTTAAATACAAAAGATGTTCTGAAATAAGTAATATCTCCTTTTTTTCCAAGAGATATTTACTCTCCTTTTCAGTTGGCTCCAAATATTTTTGATAGACCATTATATAAATCTGCACTGTGTCCATTCGTGAGCACTGTAGATGGTTTTTGGCCACCATCCTCACTTCTCACAACCTTCTCCCTGCAAAAACCCAACCAACCAAGCAAAAAGGGCTGGGGGCTATAGTAGAACCTGAAAGGGTGTCGAGAAGCAGTCAGAGAAGATGAGAAGTGTGAAACAATGAGATGGGAATAAGGAGTGTGACCACCCCTTAGGTAAGAAGGGACAGCAAGTGTGGATGTGATGGCTCTAATAGGGTAATATGAAATAGTGAATGGCAGGCAGATGGTGAAAAACCGTGATCGTACTTGTTTCTCATAGTGGAAGAGCTCAAGAGACATCAGTGAAACGATCAGGGAGCAGATTTAAAGCTAGCCTAGGAGGTGCCTTTTCTATTAGTGCAAAGTTAAATCGTGGAACTCCTTGCTGCAGAGTTTTCAGGTGAAAAAGGTACAAAATGGTTGAGGAAGCAATTAGATGTATTCGTGGATGAATGGCTTATTTAAAAGCGATGACTTGGGCGCATTCTCCAGGTTAAAATGTGCCCAAACTGTGGGTTTCAGGAGGCAGGTTGACTGTATCACAGGAATGCTCTGTGCTTGCTCTAGTCCTTATGGACTTTACTAAGCGTTTGATGTAGCCCATAGTCAGGGGAAGATACTGGCCTAGGCAGACCTTTAGTCTGGCTTAGTACAACAGGTTTATGCTTTTGTGGCACTCTAATTTCTGTTTTTGAGCATGTCATCTTGTTTTAGGAATGTGTTCTGTTTAAATTATGGGGGAATGATAAGAGGGGAAAGTCATTTTTTGTAGGAATAGGAAAAACTACAATTCTAGTCAAGTTTGGGTTTACTCAGGCTAAACACATATTTAATATACCTCTGTCTTTCAGAAGAGCCAAGTTGGTTACTTCAGGGTTTTCCATTTGCAATCCTCCTTTCAGCCATACAGCTTAGACCAAAACCACGCATATTAAGGGCAGTGGTAATACTGATTTTGATATTCTGTGGGTTTTCTACACTCCTCGGTCAGTAACTTGGATCATTGTTTTTGCACATAATTAAGCCAAGCGAAAGATTTAATAGACTAATTCCTGAAGGCTCTGGTTTCCTCTTTCCAACGGTATCTGGTGGATTTGTCAGCCTCGGAGGCTGTTTTGAGGGTTGTTTGCATATGCATACCCACGATGTTCAAAACATCTTCTTTCAAAGATTTAAGGAGTTCTGTTGAAGAAAATCTGATAACACTACTCTATGGAAATTATAGTCAACTGAAGGAAATTCATTGTGCTTCAGATAAATACCTGGAATTACAATTATTTTATTCATGCTGAGATGTGTATACTACATTTACTATTGTTGCTTTGCTCTGTTTTATTTCATTTTACACGCATTTTTTTTTCCAGTGGTCTTATTGTTCCTGAGAAAGACAGCAATGAAACAGTACCAGAAGTTGTAGCTACTTCTGGATATGCTCTTCTGCATTTCTTCAGTGATGCTGCCTATAATTTGACAGGGTTTAACATCACATATAAGTAAGTAGTGCCGTTCCTAAGTGGTTTTGGAGATTAAATGAACATTGCAGGTTGAGTAAAAGGCGATTATTCTTTCCTCAGTTTTGTCTTGAAACAAGCAATTGCTGTTGAAGCATGTAATTTTGAGTAGATACTTGAATTTAGATTTCTATCTTTATTATACCCTTACCACAGCTAATAACTGTAATGTGCTCGACATTAACTTCAGTTGTGAGTTACAAATGCGGGTAAATGTTTGCTTGAAAAGACATCATACTATTTATTTTACGTTATTAGATTTGTTTGATCGTATTCAGTCAATGAGAATTGATCTGTTTGTGCGTATGTGTGCTCTTACGCATTCTGCAGGGACACTTCTGCGTGAACATACTTTTGCGTGAGCGCACGCGTTTCACTTGAGACCCAGGCTTATACCTATTACTGAGATACCGCAAGTGTGTTTGGGGGCGGGGAGGGTGTGCTTTCTTCCTTCCGTCTTTGGATTGAATTGTTTAACGTATCCCCTTCTTAGATGGAAAAGAATTTATGATGGGTTCTTTCTACTTGCTAAAAATAGATTTTGTGCTTATGGAGGAACTTTTTCAAAATAATTCTAGGTTATTCCCTAATTTGAAATTCCTAATTTCCTAATCCCTAATTTCCTTTTTTTCTGAAAGATTATGTTTTGAAGTAAAAGATGGTGGTATGGGCATACTAGCAAAGATGAAATATCTTCCTTCTGTTGGGCATAATGGGCTTTAAATGTTATGTTCTTGCAGATACAACTTATATTTGTGCTGTACTAGAAGATTTTAGTTTGAGTGTGACCTTTAGGCCCCTTTGTCTTCAGACAATCAGCTGCAAGGTCCTCAGTCACAAGTGACTTTTTACAAAATTGAAAAATTGCTGTAAAATGAGGTGATCAGTTTTTGAAAACTGATCCTAAAATGTTTGGTATTCTAATCCTTATTAAGCGTTTAAATAAACAGTCGACTTTTTGAAAGAGGGGCCTCTTAAAGGCTCCAGAAGAAAACGAGGAGCTTTAGCAAAAATTGCATGAAACGTAGCAGAAGCAGTGGCATCCCATTTTGAAAGCGTGGCTGATACCATAAACCGTGCCACCATCTACTGTCAGCTGTCAGTATTACACTCTGGCAATATAATTGAGAAAAATCGCTGAAGAACTACCTGTCTTTTTAAGTTACTGTGTTACAGTGTTTCTTTAAACTCATTTTCTTAAATCATTTCAGACAGTCTTCGAGTGCCGTTTTGTGCTTTTGTTTCTTCTGCATGTTCTAGTTTTCAGATCTCCTCCTAACGTTCTTGTAGAGAGTAGATGGAAGGATCTATTTGTTTCTTTTCAGTTTAACGGTCCTTATAGTTACTATAGGAGATAGCTGCTAGAGCCTCAGTCCAGAGACAAACAGTTGTGAAATCGTGGTCTTGGAGCCGGTGACTTCATCTGTTGAAGCAGTAATCCCAGTCTTTGAGTTATGCTGGCTCTTTGAAAAAGAATAGGGCATCTGACTTTGGGTCCTCAGCAAGGATGTGTCTGCTTTTGCCTCAGTTATATTGCAGATGTTATGAAATCAAAAGTGATTCAAGAGAGGCCCATATTTGTCTTAGAATTCAGCTCAAGTGTGTTCATTTGGTAAGCAGATCCCAGAATAGCGCGCGGTTGTGAATAGTTTTAAGTATAAATTGCACAGACACCACAAAGGCCTTATGTGCTGATTAAATTCTTCGCTTACTCTTGGAGGTTTGGAGGCAATTCATTTGCATTACAAATGGCTAAAAATCATATTGATTATTTTCCACAGTTGTAAGTTTAACTCATGAGTCAGCTCTGTAGATTATGCGTACAGAATAAATAAGTACAAGTCCGTCATGTCAAATCCGAGATGAGTGGCGCTCGCTGGGTGTGTATATTAACAAACCGTTGAACTGCTCTATCAACTTTAGTTCAGCATCACTCTTGTATTTGGTAACAAGCGGTATGGCTTGGGGAGGCTGTTTCATTACTGCCAAACCTTCTTTCCCTGATGTTTGCAGTTTCAATATGTGTCCCAATAATTGCTCTGGCCGAGGCGAGTGCAAACTCAGTAACAGCAGCAACGCGCTTGAGTGCGAATGTGCCAAATACTGGAAAGGAGAAGCTTGCGATATTCCTTACTGCACGGATGACTGCGGGATGCCTGAGAGGGGGCATTGCGACTTTAACGATACAAAGGCATGTTTGTGCTCTGCAGACTGGCAAGGTGGGTATCCCAGTAAAGATGGTATCCTGTGGAGAAGCTCTTGTTAAGAGGGTGCCTTTTTGGTGTTATGGCTCTTGCAGTTAAGTTGGAAGCGCTTGGGACTGTTCTGTTTGACAGCTGTTAGCACTTTGATTAGGAACAGAATATCTGATGCTCCCACCTAGTTTTTCATATCAGAAGATCACAGATCATTGGCACTGCTCTATACAGTAGCATCGTTGCTTTACAAAGAGGGAGAAACTTGTTACCAATCTGTTGTGTGCAAACATCAAATTAAAAAAAAAAAAAACAAACCTCAAAACCTTCTTACCATGCACCTGCAGCAAAGTTGAGACTTATAGGAGTTAACCTGTCTGAACACATAGAGTGCTTTTGTTGTCTTGTCTGGGTATGGTAGTCAGCCATGCCAGTCTTAACAACAGTTTGGACCAAAAACTGCATGCAAAAATTTATATAGCATGAATTTATATAGTATGAAAGGAGGTTGGTTAAGACTGTTGTATTAAAGGAGGTAGTTTAGCTCCTTATGGAGCTACCAGGCTCCTAATATCTCAGTAGCTAAATGCTGTACAGTTGGAAAAGTCACCACAGGAGAGGTGCCAACAGGTGAGGTCTGCAGCTTCACTGTGGCCTGCTCCTACTCTTGTTTAAAGAGGATCTGAAACATGGATAAAGTTTTGTTGGTCCTCTACCTTGTGTAGCCCTTTGACTTTTACAGGCTGCCCCGTTTCTGGAGCTTCTGCAAGCACCCTGATGGGAAGGACTTCTGAAGGGAAGCCTGGCAGCAAAGAGGATAGTTAAGAGCAGGAAAAAGGTAGAAAGAGCAAGAAGTAAACAAGTCACAAAAACGTAGTGCTAGGAAAGAGAGTGAAGAAAGAGGGAATAGTAGCAAGCAACACTGTATGACCTGTTGATTTTTTTTTTACAGTTGTGCTGCAGAGCAGGTCTCCTGAAACCTTTGCAGGCAGTGTTGGGGCTTCTGTGGGCACACGGTGTCTGGATAAATGCTGGAAGATACCCACATAGTGTGGAGTGTTTTTTTCCTTTCTGTAACCTTCTTTAGAGTCAAAGTTAAGTGGGTTACGACTGGGGGATTGAGCTTGCTAGCGTGGGCAAAGAGATGAGTATCACATCTACCTATTATCTAGCCGTGCGTTGTCTTTCTCACCTGTGGTGTAGGTTATTGACCTCTAATTGAAATACTGACCTGTAAAGAAACGACTTTAACTTTTAAAACCATCCCACCCACCAGGTCCTGGCTGTTCAGTTCCTGTTCCTGCAAACCAGTCGTTTTGGACCCGGGAGGAGTACTCTCTTCCAAAACTTCCTAGAGCATCTCACAAAACCATAATCCATGACAATAAAATGTGGATTGTTGGAGGCTATGTCTTCAATCATTCTGACTCTCAGAAGGTTTTAGCGTGAGTATAATCATGGATTAACTTAATCTTAGAACATAGATCTGAGAATATTTTTTAGAAAATGCTATCCTACACACTGTACTTTGGCCTACGCTCTATCTCCAGGAAAAAAAAACAGCACTGAGAAAAACTTAGACTCAGTTTGAGGTGTGGGGAAAAAGCTGAAAAGGGGTGCTAATTTTGGAAAATAAAAAGCGCAAGGTTCCTCATATTCAGTGAGGTTTTTGGTCCATCTGCCTATGGTATCATTAAACTGTTCACTATATAGTATAGTAAATACTATACTATATATATTAAACGATTCTAATTCTATACTATATATACAAGGTTAGCTTCTAAATTTAATCTGACCTTATATTCAAAGAGGTTAGTTCTCTTTCTGTGTTACTAGTCCTTTCTTATATTCTATCTGTGTCACTTCAGAGCGTTTCATCTTCATCTCAGGGAAGATACACTGACTACTGCAGGTGTAGATATTTAAGCATAGAGTAGTGCATGGGATACCATGCACCAAACTGGGAGCGTCATTTAGGATGATGACATTTATGTGATCTGTTGAGGTGATTTAACAGTAACTAGGGTATTGAATAATGTTGAAATCCACACTAAGAATGTTTTAAGCTACCTTTTTGAGCTAACTGATGTTCTGGCAGATCTAGGCAAAAGTGGATTTTTTTTTTCCCCCCCAGGGATACATGCATAACTGCATTGCACTGACCTAAGCAAGAGCTGTGTGTTCTGAACTTAAATCCAGAAGTAATAATTCTGGTAGTGAAAGTTAAAGAGGAACAGGAAACACACACACAGTCATAGAATAGTTGCTGATTACCTCCACAATTTATTCTTTCAAATGCCTGATTTTTCAACAGATACCATGTAGCTTCATTAAAGACTTTCTCAGAGATGGTTTTATCTCATACAACTGCAAGGCTGGCAAGTATAGTTCATCACCGTATCTGAAAAGCCACGGGCCCCTTTCGGGGCAGAGTGTTCTATTGCTTCAAGTTTACAGAAAAAAGATCCTTGATTGACAAGTTATAATTCAAAAGTGCCTTTTAAACACTGGCAGTTCTTTCTAACTCGTTGGGATTTGCCTGAGTTTTTAGTGTAACGTTTTTATGTTCCTTCAGGTGGATGATGTGGCAGAAGTTGTTAAATATAGCAGGATAAATGCTGGATGCATTTAACTCTTGGTTTTGCATGGGAAAGAAAACTCAGGGTACGGCAAATCAATACATGGATATTAAGTAACAGAATAGGCTTGACTGGATTTTTTTAAATCTGTGAATAGTCATATAAACGTGTGTCTTGTGTGTAATGAAGTTTCGCAGGACTTTTGTTAAAATGTTTTCCAACGAGTCCTGGGAAGGACAAGCAATAATTTTCATCATTTGAATATGTGATTCTCAAAAAATAAATTTAATTTTCATTGCGCAGGTATGATCTTATTTCTGAAGAGTGGCTTCCACTGAACAACACCGTGAACTCGGTAGAGATGAGATACGGTCATTCACTGGCGTTACATGAGGTAAGTAAATTCAGTGCTACGGATTCATCTCCCAGCTTATTTCCCCCTTTCCCGCTCCCCACCCCTACCCTCCTTTCCCTTTCACAGATCAGTCTTGTTTTGTGAGAAGCGTTTCTCCTTCAAAGGCTTGTCCGTGGATATTCCCCTCTGTGTGTACTTGTTGTACTCGGAAGCTGGTATCCCAGTAAGCCTGTAGTGCCTTTGCTGGTGTGTTTCTCCTCTCCCCTTCCCTTTTCCCAGGGACTTTAAGGCTTTTCGAGGTCAATGAGTACATTATTTCCCTCTGACTGTCTGTGCTTGTAAGACATGCCTGACAGCGGGAGTTTCACTGGTTCCCTAATTGGCTTTTGTGCAGACAGCAAAAATATTATTAGGAGCTCTCAAGAGTCCAGCTTTGAGGCATCTAGTGTCCAAGAGCTGGTGAGTTAGGGATTTTTGGAGTTTGCTCAGCCTCTGTAGTAGATCCCTGCATCTGTTCTTCCAGCATCAGAAATGACAAGTGGATTTGACTGTTTCTGACCTCAGTCCTCACCGGCATGCCTTGCTGTGAGTGCATGCCAAGTGAGAGCAGAATGGCGAAACTGCAAGCAAATATCTTGAAGAAGAGAACAAGTCTTGGGCACGTTAGCTTGTTTGAAAAGGGAAGGAGCTAATCCTTTACTGACCTTTGTTCTTGGATTGTTAATTAACTTATCTCAGTGCAGGCCCGTATAAATCATAAAGAACAACACCTGAAAAACTCTGCACATCACAGTTCACAAACAGAACACTTGAAGAACCTGATAAAGCTGTCAAATCCCTGCCTGCAGGGGGCTGATTAACCTTCTGTGAGCAACTCTCACGACATGCGCGCTGTACAGGGTTTGCAGTCAGTGACATGGAGTGGTTCTTAGCAATTCCCCCAAAAGCATCAGCTAGAGTAGAGAATTTCCCTTTCCAAGGGTGCCACCTTGTCAGCGGTGAAACAGGTGCCTCGCTACACACTTTGGTGGAGGATTCGTGACTGACTTTGAGACGACTGGAGAAATGCACAAAGGAAACTGGAGAGAGCTTTGGCGCTTAGCTCTTACGGGATGATTAATAAAAGCCCTGTCTAGCTATCATGACACCTTGCTTTCCAAAGGCTCCCAGGTTTTTGTCAATGCATTTACTTAGGAGACAAAGCTTTTGGTGCGCAAACACAAAGGAATTTCCATGCTGTCTCCTGAGCTATCTTCTGCTTTTTGGAATTTTGCAAACTATGTGAGGGATTCAGCATGCATATCAAAACAGCATGACTGGTTGTCTACGTATCGGGGTCTCTGTATGGACTGGCTCTCTGAGCTCCATTTACAGTGAGCAGAGATCTAGTCAAGGAAGTCTGGAGAGTAAGTCAGCTTCCGAAGGTCAGCAAACCTGCTTGCATTTGATCAACTGAATTGTTCTCCAAACACCATTAGCAAGCCTCCCATTTCCTCTAGCGGATGCTTAGACACTCGGCTGACATGCAGACCTCTAAATTTATGGGTCTGTTCTCTGGAGGTCAGTGTTGCCCCGTGCATCCCTCCCTCTAAGTCCCCTCATCTCGAATGTCTTATGTTTGCTTAAAACATTCTGACGGTATCGACTTGAGTCCAGAGCCTGGGAGTCGTGGCTGCTTTTGTATCAGCTATGACCAACGAAGGAGACGTGCATGGTATCCTTCCTTAATTTGAGCACAGCGCTCAAATTGCTTACCTAAGAAGTAGAAAACCTGGTCGTTTTCCCCTATGCCTGAAGTGTTTCAAATCCTTCATTCCCCCTTCCTAATAGAGCTGTACAGTTGCTAGACTCTTCTGGGAAGAGAGCCATGCTCTATCCATCCTGTCAAAGCTGAGGTGCTTGTTGGAAGAGAAAGTCAGCGTCATGGATACTGAGCTCAGGCTGAGCGGTGTACAGCTCAGCCCGGGGAGGAGAACGTTTTCTTAGGATGGGGATTCTGGGCTTTGTTTCATCCTTGTCTCTCCTGAGAGAGGAGTTAAAACGTGGCACGCTGGGAGAGGTTAAAATATGGTGATTTTGTTACTTCCATGTTAGCGGCGTCTAACTAAGTCTTTGGCCTCATTTTAAATCTAACTTCTTTCAGGATGATATGTACATGTATGGTGGAAAAATAGACGCGACGGGCAACGTGACCAGTCAGTTGTGGGTGTTCCACATTCCCAGTCAGTCCTGGGCTCAAGTGACTCCAAAAGCCAAGGAGCAGTACGCTGTTGTTGGCCACTCGGCACACATCGTCACCCTGGAAGATGGTAGTGCGGTGATGCTCGTCATCTTTGGGCACTGTCCTCTTTACGGGTACATCAGCAACGTCCAGGAATACAACCTTGGTGAGTGGGGTCCTACCTACTGTGCGTTTGAATTTTAGCAGCTGCTTTGAGAGTTATTTGAATGAGCCATATTCAGACAGTGTAAGAAAGGTTGCGAGGCTCTTCTCCTTTTACTTGTATTTATTAGAAGTAGAATCTAACTTCAAGCGTTTGGATATCCACAGTGAGCAGGGAGCCATGTGCCTCCAGCTTTATAGAGTCTGTTAGGTCCCAAAGACAAAAAGGCTGTGATGGAAAGACAAAGCTGGATAACTGTGGCAAAGTTTAAATTCATTTTCCTCATATTTCCTCCTCTCTCCCTATGACAGAGAATACACTTTTGAAATTATTTTTGTATCCTGTGAATTTAAGAGTGGCTGTATCTGTTCAGACCACTGATATTTCTGTCTCCAGTAGCAATCATCAGTGAATGCTTAGGGGAGCAGAGGGTAACTTTGCGGGCTCCTATTTGCCCTTTTATTTCTGGGAATACTCCACACTGTGGTTTTAGCATCCAGAGATTTTCAGCATCATCACAGGAGAAGAGGAGGAGCCTCTCCAGATGACCTGAACTGCTGCATAACTTAACTGCTCTGAAACAGCTCTCTGGAGGCACCTCCCTTGCTTTACTAACTACATAGAGAGGATAGCTCAGTACCTAAAATTGCAATATAAACGTGCTGCTTATTCGCAGAAATAGTGATGGTGCCTTCACTGTTGATTCATTACCCTTGTCACTTGGTCATCCTGATCCAGAGGATCTAGTGGAACGGACCGTGGTTCCCTGGGTTCAAGTGAATCAGCTTTTCTTCTAGTGGAGAAAACCAGGGCACGCGTGGCACGATGCATTCCTGGGTTTTTGTTATTACAGTTTGCGCCCCAGGTTCTGGTCTCTGGACATACTGTGCACAGCACTTGACGTGGCATCTAGATATGGCCAACAAGCCTGTACAAGGGAGTCGGAGTCTTGGTTCGTGAGAGGAACCTCTGCCTCCCATGTCCCATCTTTCTTCCATGGGAGAGTGTCATGGGAAGCTGTAGCAAGGATCTCACATCATGCTTTAGACAGCTGCATGAGAACCTGCCGGTGGTTTGTTTTGTTACGCCCACGTGTGTGAGCTTGCAAGATACTAAATTCCTTTGCTTTAATTATTTTATGTGCCTGATCTGCTCTGGAGTTAGGAAGCCTGTACAGGGCGTAATTCTGGGTTTTCTGCTGAGGTTTGATATGAAATTTGGCACTTTTGTTTCACTTGCTGTTATGTTGTGTCTGGAATGCTTAAAATCAATGTTGTTTTAGTCAGCAGACCATTAATCACATCTTAGTTTTTACATGCAGTGTTCTTTACAGTTATACTTGGCTTCAGTGCTATCTGGCTTTGAAAGTAAAGAAGTGCTCTTAGGGACTGTTCGAAATCAAGCCACGGTGCTGGCATTTTGATGTCATGGAAATGCAGTAGATTATTTCTGTGCTTTTTACTTCTCGTTTGCTTAGCTTGTCTGCAAAACTTAATAAATGACTGTAGAAGAGGTGTTTCTGGTCTAATTAAAAGTATTTAACACAATGCCTCTTGGCAGCAAACGCGCTCCTTGAAGGAGAATATTTGTGGATGTGAAGTGACAGAGACGGTGGGTAGATCTGAGTCAAGGGAAACCCGATTTGTTTCACAGTCAGGATATGTTGTTAATGGAGATAAAATAACGGCGCTTTGTTGCTCACATTTTTCATTCTTCAGCCACAAATACCTGGAACATTTTACAGACAAGCGGAGCTTTGGTGCAAGGCGGGTATGGTCACAGCAGCGTTTATGATCCAAATACAAGATCCATTTATATCCATGGAGGTTACAAAGCGTTCAGTGCCAACAAATACAGGCTGGCAGATGACTTGTACAAATATGAAGTTGATAGCCGTATGTGGTAAGTACCTCTTCTTCCTGTATACCCCCCTCTCATTTTTGTATGCAATAGAAAAAGAGGATGAGGGTATCTGATAATGTACAGCAGTACTTAGCTGCATTCAAGATAGGGCGTTCTTCTCTGTGTTATTTTTATGTCCCTTTATGGATAGAGGATCGTATAATTGCATATAATCAAGACTGTGAGCTAGCCAAGAAATCCGTTTTAATATATTGCTGTATTAAAGCTGAAATGAAAAACACTTGATGGGATTTTCCTGCCAGCAGTACAGACAATGCACACGCGTGCGGTTGCTGTAGTCAAGTGAGTGATAATTCATTCTGCAGTTAAGACTGCAAAAGAAGTTCTATTATAACCCCATTTTCTTCTGGTTCTGTAACGGTCTGAAACGTTTGTTTCTTAAACTGAAATCTTCCGTGATTGATTTCTGCCCAAAGGTGAGTGTTATTAGAAAGCTATAGCAAAACTTCCCAGCTTTGAGTTGCATAGGTGAAGTGTGTTTTCCTCAATTTTGTGCTTTTCTTAAAGGATTTTTAAAGCCTGCTGACAAAAGGGGGCTGATCTTTTGAATTCACACGTATAAATTTGAGTCACTATGTCATTTTGAAGGCTGTAACTTATATTTCTGGCCCAAGTGTTTGAGAGTCTTTACTGATGCGTAGAGTGAATAGTGACTAATTTCCAAAAATCTTTCTTCCCTCTCAGTGGTACATGCTGTAATCACAGTATTTTGGGTTTATGGAGTGGGTTGGGTTTTTTTGTTCATTTTATCCTCCAGTTCTACTGTGGAGCAGGCAAATGTGGCTGAACGGGCAGAAAATGTCACACCTGTATCCGTTCCCAAACTCCTTCCAGCAGCAACCTTCTTGCACTGCGTTTATTTTGTTGGTGTCCAGAGGACTAGAGTATGGCCAGCCTTGGTGCTCCTTTCCCTGTCTGAACAGGCAAGAAGTTTTGCAGCAAGGCAATAGAAGCATGCTTAGAAGTGTCTGTGCATCTTTATTTTATTGTATTGTATTTTTTGGTGTAGTTGACTCCCTTTTTTGTTCTTCGGTAATTTAGGCCCTCTCTCCCTCCTGTGATTTCATGGCGAGGAAAGACAAAAAAGCAGTCTCCGAAGTCTTTAAGTTCGACAGGCTTGTTTCTCCCTGTGCTCCCACCGGTATTTTGGTGTGATGGCTTTACAGTCTAATACTTGTGGGCCTGTCAGGGACAGGGTAATGCTCGAAAAGCCGCTGTGTGCAGCGCCACCGCAGCTCAGACCTTAGGAACGGGGTCATTGGTCTGCTCTTTGCCCAATATTTCACCGTGAAAGTCTTTGCTTTAATACGAGCTGCATTCCCAGCGCTGCTGTCCTGCAGCGCTCCAGCTGCAAAAGCTTACTGATCGTGACAGTGTTGCCTGTGATGCAGACGTTGGCATGTTTATGTCTTTCTGCAATCTCGCGCTCCGCAAATAGTAGGGAAATTCTGCACAGGGTGACCCGCTTCGTCTTCAGCGTCATTACTCATGCATGCCGATTAAAGGTGAGGTCAGCGGCTAATAAGATTAACGCTATCTGTGATTTAATCACAGATAAGACTTTCAGTTTTGCCAGTGTTAAACTACAGGGCTCTACTATAGGTTGCTACATAGATTTCCTTGAAATAGTTTTGTTTGAGGTAGAGTTGACATCTAATTTACAAGAATTCTTTAGGTTAATATAAAATGAGTATTACCTCGACTGGCGTCCTCCGCACCGTATCAGCAGTATAACTGATGGTGCTCCAAAACTCCAGTTACTGTGAAAAAACTAAGTGACACCTCCTAGGGAAGGAATTGATGATTTGAAGTTCCTTAGCTTTGGGAAGATGCTTTCATGGATATACGTCTCATGAATTGGAAAGGGGTTTGGAAGGTGAGAGAGTCAAATTACAGGAGGAGTTGAACCGTCTGGAAAGACAGTTATGAAATATTTCAGTGGAAAAAACGATGAAATGATATCCCAGTGTGGATTTATGGATTGTTTTGTCTTTGTCAGGTAGTAATCAGTTTCATTACTACGTGTGTTTTTATTTTTGAAGGACAATTCTTAAAGACAGCAGGTTTTTTCGCTATTTGCACACTGCTGTGATAATGAGTGGAACCATGCTGGTGTTTGGAGGAAACACGCACAATGACACCTCAATGAGCCATGGCGCTAAGTGCTTTTCTTCAGATTTTATGGCATATGATATTGGTAAGTTCTTGCAAAAAATAATAATAAAAGAAGTCTTAGAGATTCAAAGAGAGCTATCTTCAGAAAGACTAATTTCCATGCTGGGTATATTATACCAAATGCTTCTAAGCAGACTGCAGAAGAATGCGTAATCAGGAGAGGCAGAATGAGCTGCTGCAGCGATTTCTAGGCAAAGACAGCAGCGGTAACGTGGTCGGTAGTTTATACGTCACCTCGGGCATTAAAAATTATTTTTTTAACCATAAAAAAGGTTGGTATAACATCTCAGTCAAAAAACTTAGCTGATATTTTGAGGGTATTTTAATCTCTGATTTAGCAAAAATGTGGGATGATAGGACAGGCGCACTAGATGCTGCTGAAGTTCTACCTACACGTTGCGTGCTGACTTCTTGTGTCACTGTGGTGCTTTGTAAGCTCAGTTAGTTAATATGTACACTTTAAAAGCGTAAACATCCCCATAAGCATTATTTGATAATAAAGCCAAATGATTAGAATTTATTTTGAAGGATTAGATGTTGAGGAGTTTGAATAACCAGAAGAGGGCAGCATTTCTTTGTGAATTTGGAGTCCAGAGACTGTGCATGTAAGAAGGGGGGGAGGAAAAAAGAGATGAAATCATCTAAAAGAAGATGCATGCGCATCTAGATAACTCACTTTGCAGAAAAACACTATTCTTTACTCGTATCACATTCGACCGTCTGCTGTTAGAATTCCTTGAAATATGAGATCTCTTTGATTCCCCGAAATAATCGTGTACGCCTGAATTCGTGGAATGATTGTCCACTGAGATGGCACTCCTGGTTTGTGGAAGGAATATGCCAGCAAACGGATTACTCTGAGTAGCAGTATTCAGCGTCCTTGTGCAGTTTTGCTGTCTGTAACAAGGACTGCTCCCTTCTGCTACCTGTGATTGCAAGTCATGTCCCTGCAGTATCTGTTGGGGGCTCCTCGCTAGCTTTATTGTGAGTTTTTACTTAAAGCTAGCTATTTTGGCAGTCAGGCGGAGGAGAGAGCAATTTTTTAAAACTTGGGTAACAGTAGGGATAGAGTGTTCTTGCTAAACTTTGTTATCTTCCGTGACACACTGAACGCTCTATTACATGTAAAACACAAATTACACCAGTTCGACAAAATATGTCCATTGCAATTGCTCCTCCTATTTGGTATAGTTACAGGCAGGCTTCCTCTTGCAGGAAATGTGCGTTATAATCAACTTGCTGAGTGCTTGCCAAATTTGCACCAAGAATTAAATGGGAGACCTGCCGGTGCTGTAGCGCGCTCTCATTGCTGTAAGGCAGAGACTCTCAGGCTGGACACTGGGGGGAAAAAAAAGCTTTCCTTCAGAAAAAAAGAGTTGTGCTTTCCAGAGTGTCGGGTCCCTTCGCTATGGGATGCACCTATAACAGTAACAGAACGTTCACGCGCAGCTTGTCTCCAAATACAATTACTGCAGTTCAAGTAACCCTTCTCTTTCATTTCTAAAAAAAATTTTAGCTTTGTTTTTCTAAAAAGCAGCACGAAATATTCATATAAAGGCTATCTCTACATCGAATGATTTCTTCTCCCCCTGGGAGAGAAATTAAATCTCTTCTATTTACCCAATCAAAATTCAGTTTGGATGCCAAACATAGAAGGAGGCTGGATGTTTACATAGCATATAGGTTCTGTTTGAATAGTACATTTAATAAAACCCTATGCATTGTAAATTTTAGGCTTGGCTTAACTCATAAGTCAGGAAGGAGAGTGTTCTTTGTAGTTTCAGAATCATTCATTTTTTCCAATACTTGATCTTCTGTTAAAGATGGGAAAGCAGCTTAGAAAGCAAAACATTCCAAGCCTTCCATTAATCTAGCAAAATATGTTTCTTGGCCTCACATAACTCGCAACTCTCTGGATAAAAAAAAAAAAACAAAACTCAAATTGCTGGCCAGTTTTACTGAAGTTTCCTGTTAAAAATTGGAACCAGGCATGCTTGTTTCATGAGTGATGTTAGGGTAGGTTAAATTCTTTTAAAATTGAGTAAATGACATGTAAAAATAAATTTTAAAAGTACAATTTACCAAAGTATTAAATCTAGCCATCTGGGTCCCATTTATTTTATTTATCAGCGCTCTTATCTTGAACAAAACTGTCAATGGGTGCATGGGTTAGGATCAGTTTGCTCACCAAACAGTTCTCCAATTAAATTTGGTAAAGAATTAATAAGGTTGTCTTTTTCTGCCTTCTCACTTCATTTACATACTGGTTTTGGTGTGTGGACTTATTTTTCAGAGGCTTGGCCCACGACACAACAGGTTTATCTTGTATTAAAGAATCTATGAGTGTTGGAGAGGCTCTGTAGATCTTTACAGCAGATTGACTTTTCTGTCTTAATTGCATAAATTGCATGCAACTGCATTAGCCCCCAAGGTGTTCCCATTCACTTTGCAAAGTTTAAGTGGTATGAATTGGACTGACTTTTTCTGCTTTTGTTCCTTTGACTGCTCAGTGGGTTATATGTTTCTTAAGTTGTTTTTTTTTTTCATCCTGCCTAAAGGAAAAAAATTACCTGAGAAGCCAAAGTAAAAAATGAAGCAGAACTTACAAATGTTATGCTAATAGAAAAAGATGGAATAATCTTGCATTATACTAAAAGAAAAAAACAACCCCAAATCCTTAAGCTGTGAGGAGTGACAAATATTTTTAAAAACATGGATAACTGCCCTCTAGGGACATAATTGCAATGGAAAAAGAAAAGATAAAAGTCTCTGTTCTCAGTGATGCTGGTTTGGGGCAAAACTGTGAATGCTTCACAGGTAAACAGATAAAAACTATGCTTGTTATGCAATGACAAATTGCACTAGTAAAGGGGAAGGAAAAGCCCCTCAAGCCACCGCCGCTTAATTACACGTGATTGCCAAAAAGCTAATAACCTCTTCAACACAAGGCTGTGAAGCTTTCGTTTATCATGAGCCATCTAGATGACTGGGCAGAGCTACTAGGTCCTTCCTTTTCCTTTCTGTGATACATTGAGGTCAGCGTGAAGACTAAGTCTTACACCTGAAGTGTGGCAAAACAAGATAATGCCGTCACGCTTGATTCTTCTGGAGGCTCCGTTCTGCCTCCGAGACGGTCAAGAAACAGCTAAGCTGCCTTTGGTGCAAAAGTGGTTGTAAAAGTGTAAATGTCAGCTTTGTCTTCACGCACTGTAGTGCTGTGTGCCTTCATAAACTGCCCTATTTCACTCTAGAGAGAGTTGCATTTTGGTGATGGGTACAGTTGTCTCCATATAGTCATTAAAGTACTGTGGGATCTTTCAGGAAGACAGGGGCTGCATAAATTGAGTCATTAATTACACCTGAGGAACTTTTCTGAAATGAGCTTTCCTTAATCCTAGCTTGTGATCAGTGGTCTGTGCTTCCTCGTCCTCATCTCCATCATGACGTGAACAGGTTTGGACATTCTGCTGTGCTGTACAACAGGTAAGGAGGCAAAGGCTCTGGCATGCAGTGGCGCCTTTGGTTTCTCGGTGAACTCAAACATCTTTAGGTGCCTGTGCACGTGTATGTGTCTGTGTGCATATTGCTGTATATAGAATGTCTCTTCCAAATCTGCTCAGTTCTCTGATCTTGATTTTTGTAATGACTTCAGTGTCCACCCTTTGCTCTCAGCCCTTTTGTCCTGCTGAGCTTCTAGCAGGTCACCTTCTTCACTTGGCTAAGCTATCTCAGTTCACTTAAACGATTCAAATTTTGAAACAGCTATGTTTCTTCTTTTTTTTTTTTTTTTTCCCTCCTATCTAGCGGCACTGTCAACTTTTATCTTCAAAATCACAGCTTTCCCTCATGGTTTCTAAAGTCGGCCCGGTCTTAGTTTACGTAGCCTATCCAGGCTGGCTCTTCTGTACCGGTCATACGATACACAGTGCTTAGGTGAAATCACGGATGAGATTCCTGCCATTTAACATTACATCGCTGTAATAATGTCCACACTTTTGGACGATGGTCTCTTGTTACTGTCTGTGGGTCGCAGGAACCGAGTTTGAGGCTGTCTTCAAGGAAATGATATTTCTTGGGAGTCTTCCGTTCTAGTTCCTTCATCCTTTTGAAGATGTTTCTCATAAATCAGCAACGTTATTTGAAGGACTGTTTAAGCTAGGCAGATAACTCATGCTGCCTTTAAGAGGAAGACGCACTTCTAGATGCTGCTTCTCTGGATATATCTATATAGCTAGAGAATCTGGTATACCTCTAGATACACTTCTTTTTTTGTCTCTGGAAATAATCACTCACTATTGTGTGTGTTTCAGTATTTACTGAATACCACCTGTGTGTTTACTCCCATGGAGAACAATTAAGCTTATGCTTGAGTGCTTTCCTGAAGTGGGATGATAATATAATGTTAAAATATTTTTTAATCAACCCAAACTTTTATTTAATTGCATTAATTCTTCTGCACCGTCGTGTTAAATATACAGGTTTTTTGGGTGGTATTTTTGTGTACCTAATGAAATTGGATGCCTAAAGAAATTGTGATGTGAAGGAAGGTTTAAAGAAAACACCGCCTTTTTTTTCTCAAAACATTGCTTTGCTTTTAGTTGACATAATGTCTCTTTGCTCAGTTGCTAAGAGCCATGAAAATAACTGTGGTTTTGTCACAGCGGTGTACCCAGATGTGACAACATTGAATTGTTTTGTCACGGTTTCTGAACACCGATTTAATGGTGTGATACCGTCCCACCTATTTTAGCCTTCCTCCCTTTCTTGCCACTGTTCTTGAAAGGAGAATACTTAATTTCTGCAGCATTTTATGTATATCCATGCTAATCGGATGTCACCCAGAGTTTTGGCTGAGAGGGGAGGTTAGTGTATGACCTGAGATAGGTTTGGCTCTGTCTTTCTCAGAAGCCCTGTGTTGAGATCCTTTGGGTTCTCTGAGCTAGTGCAACTTGACTGACCCTTGTCTTTAGTGCGTTATTTAGCCAAGATCTATTTATTTGGATATATGCACTCTGCAATGTAATAAAACACCTTACACCGTGAATAAAACTGAGCTGCAGCAGGGCATGGTCTGTAAACAGGTGCAAATGTCTATATGTTCACTTGCATTTTGTTTAGCACCATGTACGTATTCGGAGGCTTCAATAGCCTCCTCCTGAGCGACATACTGAAGTATACGCCGGAGAGATGTGAAGCTTTTGAGAACGAAACGGCTTGCTTGCGAGTGGGTCCCGGAGTCCGGTGCGTGTGGAATGCCACCTCTCCCCGGTGTGTCCCCTGGGAGATGGCAACGATAGAGCAGCAGCAGAAGGTCTTTGAAGACTGTCCTCCCAAGTCAGGTAGGTGCAACGTCCTCTCCGTTTCCCTTTCCCAAGGCACCTGGATTTTTTTCCTTTCCAAATTGTATCTTGCATTATTTTTGTGCCATTACCAGAAAAGGTTCAAGATGGGGGGCTGTAGTTCTGCTTCCGTATGTGTCCTCGGAGGAATCTCTCTGATCAAGCGGCAGCAGTGGCACGGGGACGTTTGCATCTCCCAATTTTCCCTGAAGCCTCTGCGTCAGCTCCTAAGGGCTTTTTCTACTATGCTGAGTGTCACTTTCCAAAACGCTTGTACGTACTTTCCCATCCCAAGCAGGCATCATCGGTCAGGAATCGGGCCTGGACCATTGCTTTGTAGATGGTTGCTCCCAGAACTGTCCCTGTGAGAGCCAGCAAGTGTTTTGATGACTACGGTGGAACAAGGGAGGGGGATCTGGGCACTGCTGTGCTGTGTTATTCTGGGCTCTTCAAGAGAGGTAGCAGGAAGAGAGTTATAGAGTTATCAAAAAAGTTACTTTTTTTTTCCTTCCACAGTATTATATGGAGAGAGGCATAGGAAAAGAACATATATTTTAAGGTTTCATTCCTGTGTTCTCCCTTGCGATAACTTTCTAACAACTTTTCAGTGCTTTATCCCGATGCCTTCACTGCTCTGAACTGAATTATATGAGCCTTGATTCTGTAATAGATTGCAGCCTTTAATTATTTAAAAGAAATTGGTGTAAAGGGACATAGCTTTGATGGGCTCTCAATGTACAATAAATTCTCACAAAACACAGGCAGTAAGCAATTGGAAAGATGAAGTGGAAAGTTCAAGCTTTGCATGAAAATGCTCCACATAATTGAAGGCCAGGATTTCAGCAAAATGGGCCTGCAGTGGTAGATTTTCACTGTCCTTTTTAAATGTCCTCTGGCATCATCTGCGTGTGCGTTGACTGAACATGCATGCCTGGTCTTAGCTCGTGCTACTCTGTCCTGGTGTGTTTTCTTGTATTGTGTTTTACTGATACTTGGGCACTAAAAATGATTAAGGGGACAAAAGAATGCAGTTTTTCCATCAGTCCAGTCCCTTGAGAGTGTCTGATCTACTAACTAGTTGATAATGGAAAATCTCCACGCTCTACTGTATGGTTATATCTTTTGCTGTATGTAATCAAGTTCTTAGAACTCTGTCAGGAAATGCCTGTTTTTGGTCATGCAGGTTTTTTTCTTTAATAGTTGTAGACAATGAAAAATGTGATCAGATTACAGACTGCTATAGCTGTACAGCAAATACAAACAACTGCCAATGGTGCACTGACCAGTGTATCTCAATGCAGAACAACTGCACAGAAGACCAGGTAAAGCCTCTCTTAATGCTTCTCTAGTTTAAATTTAGCTTCTGAAGTGTTGCATGTCCAGGTGTCTTCACCTGGCGGTATGACTCCTGCTGTTTCCGGTGCACGTGTAGGTCTGAACTGTTGATGTTTGATTTTTTTCAACAAAAAATCAAAAGTTTGGTCCGAGGACTTTTCATGGGACTCTTTCACTCTGTAAGTTAGAAGGATATTGAAGGAAGGAGGAAGAGGGGAAGGTTTCATGATCAGTGCGATGTGATGATTCTTTCCGTTTGGGTTTGCCATTAATAGAGCCGTCCCTGGCTTCTCAACTAGACAGAAAAAACGAACCCTTTCATAAAGGGTCTAGGGAAGAAAATGTGTCAGAGGCTGGCCTGGGGGAATATCCTAAATACGTAGTAGAGTCTATATCCAGTGTCACGGTTTTTGAATATATGTGTTGCTTGGTAGGTCTGAACTGTAGAGCTTAGAGCAGTAGTCTTTATGACTGTGTTAACAGACGTGTTCGGAGGGGAAAAAAATCTTATCTGTTCTATTTATTTTAGGCTCCTATTACAGTATATGATAATTGTCCTAAGGATAACCCTGCGTATTATTGCAACAAAAAGACAAGTTGTAAAAGCTGTGCCATGGATCAAAACTGTCAGTGGGAACCTAGGAATCAGGAGTGCATTGCTTTACCGGGTAGGTATTGGTTGTATTTGTGTAAAATAAATAAGAGAAAAACCAAAAGTATTTGGGGGTGTGTACCCTCTTTTTGTAAAGTAATCTTTTACTGCTGAGATGGAACGAATAATATTCTTTAATCGTAATGTGTTTCGTACGAAACTTTATTTCAAGGAAGTTTAGAAAGTCTGGGATGTTCTTCAGTCTTTTCAGTCCCAGTTGTCTGAAGAAGGACTGTGATCATTTGTATAGTTATTAGCCTGTATTTCATCTCCGTCTTTCCTTTTGATAAAAGCAGCACTGTTGATATAATAGGCTTCTGTAAGATATTAGATTTAATAACGCATGCTATTTAATTTTAGAAGCTGGAATTGTGCGAAAGCAGAATGGCACATACTGGACGGATTAGACAAATAACATCTAAATGTATGAGGAAAATTCTCGTATTAGCGTGTTTCCAGTGGGAGCTCATAGGAGTTGATCATTAGTCTCTTCTGTAGTACTCTTTTTTTTTTTTTTTTCCCCCTCCCTCCAGTGACCGAGTAGGAAATACAGCATCTCCAGTGATTGACATTTACAGTTAATAAAAAATAGAGAAGGAGGGAAAAGCAGCAAGGACAGAACCCTCGGATTCCACCTTGGTGGATTGCCACCTTCTAGTAACCCGCTTAGGTCTGGACGTGTCCGGTCCTGGCATTGTCTAGCCTGGAAGAGAGGAAAAAATGGAGAGACTTCAGAGAAGAATCACGAGAGCGAGGAAAATATCTTTCGATGCGATATATAAAGAACTTAGTCTAGGTTGTTGTAGAGAAGGGGATGATTTGATCGTATTCTGTAAAAAGAACCTACCTGAAAAACTGAGATTTGAGAGCTTTTCAGTCTGTTAGACCAGTCTAACACAAGCTGCCATAGGTAGATGTTGGCTCCGCAAAGATTCACGCTAAAAATGCCCCTTGTGTTTCTAGTAAGCGTAGTTATAAGTGTGGATATGTTGAGGGGAAATTACCAGAAATTATAATTAGTTATTCAGTAGTGGGCATGACTGTTGTCAAGATTAAACAGGAATTAATCCTGGAAATGCGGTGTTGCGGAGAGGATTACCAACAACCTCCTCCTACAGCAAGTTATCCTTACGGTTGTGGTTGAAGATATGGCTTAAGCCATCAGCAAAGTATTTATTTTCTTTCTTCTGCTCTTTCTCCTGAAGTGATTTTATTCCTGGTTCAAATAGGTGCTTTTGCTCCCTGCTACAGATTATTAAAAGCCGGTATCTTGCTTTAGCTCCCCTAAAAAGCTTTCCTTTCTTCCAAATTATTTCCAAGTAAAGATTTCTGAGGGTGCCAAGCAAGCTGGCAAACCCGTGCTACTTTTGCATGGGACTGTAGGTTTTGTTGTTGGTGGAACAGCTCTTTTACTGCTTTGAATGTAGTGAAGGTCACCTGCACCTCTCGTTTTACTCTTTTTTTCCTCTCTCTTTTTTTTTTTCTTCCCCCCCCCTCCCCTTTTTTTTTCTTTTCTCTCCCTCTTTTCAGAAAATATCTGTGGAACAAACTGGCATTTGGTTGGCAACTCATGCTTGAAAATCACTAACACAAAGGAGAACTATGATCACGCCAAACTGTCCTGCAGATCCAACGGTGCTTTTCTGGCTTCTCTTACAACCCCCAAAAAGGTAGAATTTGTTCTAAAGGAACTGCAGAAGATGCAGTCTTCGGTAAGTGCTTCTCTTTAATGTCCTCTGACTAATTAAAGCTCTGACTGTGGGGGAAGTCCTTGCTGGGGTATTGTGCGCTCTGCGCAGAATAGACATGCCTCATCACTGGAAAAGACTGATTCTTTCCTTTTGAAATTCAACATACCCTATGGGTGCTTTTGAAGTGAAATTGCAGGGGATGTAAATGTGAGAGATAAATATAAACACACAGGGTGCCTCAAAGGTATCGCTTGCTGTAATGAAACCACACGCACGTTTCTCTTGTAGGGTACATGACTACAGCAGGAACCAGAGTGGTTCTCGTGACTCGTACAAAGTATTTTACAAATAAAGGTTCCTTTGGGGCACCCGTAGATGTTTAATGCAAAGCATTTCACGTTATTTATTCTGTTCTGAAAAGGGCTTAAAATGTTGGTTTCTTACTCAGCAGATCTGCTTGACTTATTTGGAGCTATACAGGCTTTATTAGTGGCCGGTGCTTTCCTGCTTGAGCCAATGCGAAGTGAATCAGGACCTATCCCACCTCGTGCATCACTAAAAATAGATTTTTTTTTTTCCTACTCCCTAGTCTCTCGGGGAAACGTGGAGGTATTCAGGGCAGGTTGTGCGGGTGGTACCGAAGTCTTAAAGAACAACGTTGTGCAGCTTTGCCGAGAGGCTGCAGAGCTGCTGTGGCTTGAAAGCACATCCAGATAGCTCCTCGTGGCTCTCAAAGGCCAGTTCGTGCAGGGCTGGCCATCGGGAAGAGCTCTGGGGAGGAAAAATTAGGCTGGAGACAGGGAGCGTAATATGATCGCTGCTTTTCAAAAGAGAACCCTGCTGCGGTATAGAAGAGAAGTACTGCCCTGTTGGAACGAGCACATTTCCAGCTTTGATTCCCTTTGTAATTGTAAAGTGGTAGTTGGACAATTACGGGGTGTTTTAGAGTGACTTCAATTTAGTCAATAAAATGTAAGGGGCAATTCGCACAAGATTGGTTGTTAAATCTTTTGAAAGGAGAGGAGAGAAAGACGGGATGTTGGAAAAGTACACGGCTTTAAAACCTTCAAGAGTTCCTGGACAGCGTAGTGGTTAAGTAAGGTATAAATTCCTAAAGAGACACGGGCATCCTCTCCGCCGAGCCCCCGATAACGCTTGAACATTTACGCTGAGAGAGGGGGGAAAAACTTGTTCAGCAGCTTTTTTCCTTTATTGTTCTGCGCTATCCTTAAGCGAGCGGGCCTTCGAAATCTGAACGGACTCCTGCCCCTTTCCAGCCTATGTTAAACACCTGTAATTTCTGGAAAAGCCAACCTACACTTAGCTCTTGCGCTTTTCCCACTTAATGGCACGCTACTGCTGTCCTGGGGGAGGCTGGACCTTGCCTTTCCCCCTTTTTTAACTAAGCTATGTGCGGTTGTTCCATAGTAATGGGAAAATAGGTGGGTATTGGCACGCAGTGCTGTCTGTAAGCCCGTTGCTATTAGGATTTGCAGCGTTCGCTTTTCAGAGCGCACCAAATCGGTCTGAAGTAGCTGATTGCTTCCTGTGGCAGGAAGGGGGAGGACTAAAGCCTCCGTCGTGCCGCTCTGCCACCGAGAAACGCTTTGGTGGAGAAACGATTCGAACAATGAAATAATGTATTGTACCGGCGCAGTTAAATTGCTTCTCTGCAAAATATAAACCGTGCCAAAAAATAAATTGCCTGTAGAAACAGTTGTATTATGGGGTCTTCATGTCGAGACCGGTGGAGTGATACGGGTTTGGATTTGGCCTGCCCTTTCCCTTCCCTTCCCCCATATACACGCAGTCTTTAAGAGCAGAGCTCTCCTTGCAAGGCCGTCGAGTTAGGTAGGTTGTGTCGCTTGCATCGTATAAGGGACTTTGGCCTTCAAATCCGACGGCGCCGGGGAGCGAACACGTCCCCGCTACGGTTTTTGCGACCGCAGACCTGACAAAGTTGCCCGGGAGCCCTCTGCGGCGGCGAGATTGATTTTCTTTCCGTAGCCGAGCCAACGAAACGCTGCCGTTTGCCTCTGACGTTACTCTTCGCTCCTTCTAGCCCAAAACTGTGACCCCGTGGGTTGGGCTGAGAAAAATCAACGTCTCGTATTGGTGCTGGGAAGACATGTCGCCCTTCCCAAACACCCTGCTCCAGTGGCTGCCTGACGAACCGAGCGACGCTGGCTTTTGCGGGTATTTGGCTGAGCCTTTCCAGCAGGGCCTGAAGGCGGCGACGTGCATCAACGAAGTTAACGGCAGCGTCTGTGAGAGGCCAGGTAACGGCGTCTCTAATCCGCCTGTCTCGGGGGGAAACAGGTTGAGTAACACGTATTTAGATTTCCTTGCCTTTTTTTTTGTGTTTTTTTTTTTTTTTAAATCTTTTGTACACATATCATCAAAGAACTGAGCTTTTTTAAGCGCAGCTCTACTTTTACGCTGTTAACTCTTAAAACACGTTCTAGTTTCATTATTTTTCTCCCAGTTGCGTACCCGTATGTGACGTTCAGGTTAATTATGGTCCGGAGCCGTCTCCTGCTTAAAAAACTACAAAATAAAAACTGCTTTCCAATCGAACGCCCCTTCCTCCCCTCCCGTGCGCTGTAGCCAGAGGAGAATTTTATCAAAGTTTGAAAGTAATTGGGCAAGACGCTGTGGAGATAATGAGAATTTTTTTTAAAAAAGAGGCTATTTGCTTTTGGGGAGAGTCTGCTAGCTTTGTTGGAGCCGCGTATCTTTTAAAATGACTTGGTCTGTTAACTCTCCGTTATAGCTGATTATTTCTGAATACCAATTAGTGGCTTTTTAAGTTTTAAGAAAGTTTTAAGCTGCTTGCTTAGAAATCTCGAAGTAAGTGGCGCCACTTTAAGTCCTGCTTTGCGACAGCGCGCGGATCACAAACAAGGCATTTTTAACTCAAAATTTCGTAGGTTGTGGTGTTTTTAACCTAACACGCGCAGCACTTTGATTTAAATCTTAACTGATTTTATGGCCTGAGAGCAGTCACTTAAAAAGGGAAGATCAAGCTCTGGCCGACACGGGAAGTTCCTGAGTGGGTTCTGCTTGAAATACCCATTTTTATGGGGGCAGCTGATCCGATTGCTTAACGTACGTCGCCGCGTCCCCGCGTAAAGCGTGGGTATCGCTCCCGCCGGGAGACCGGCGAAGCGGTGCGTTAGTTAACGCAGAGACAGAGGCCGCGGCGGTAACCTGGTGCTCGCGCAGAGGTGGCGCACCAGTCGCCGTGGCGTCCCGTGCCTCCAGCTCCAAGCGGCACCGCCGCGGTCC